ATAATTGAGCAAGTGACTTCTTGGACATCAAAAGATCTCTCTTTTATGGGATAGTTACAATTCATTTCCTCAATTATACAAAGGATCACCAATTTTTAATGTTCCACTTTTATTTTGCCGAAACTATTATCAGGGAGGTTGGCAAGCTATATGGTGCCTTTTTTAGGCAATGAGAATATTAATAGTGCGAAAGGAGCTAAAGTTAGCTAGTCAAAAATTTATTCTCTAAAGTAAGAAGGTGGCTTAGGCCTCAAAACTTTGGTGCAATGGAATAGAACCTACATGCTGTAATTTATCAAGCTCCTTTTTTCCAAGGCAGGTTCCATCTGGGTTGCTTGGGTTCAGGAATATTTACTGCAGGGTAAGAGCCTTTAGACAATTAGCATTCCAACAGATGCATCATGGGGTGATAAAAATTGCTAAAACAATTGCTAAAACTTAGACCAATAGCAAGAAATTTCTCAAGCATATCCTTGGTGATAGTGTTAGCATACACATTTGGCATGACACCTAGCACCCATATAGTCCTTTAATGGAGACTTATGGTGATCAAATTGTTAGAGATGCAAGAATCCCTTATCAAGCAAAATTTTCTAAGGCAATAAATGGCAATATTTTGTGCTGGCCCCTAGCTTGTTCACCTCAACTATTGGAAATTTCAAATAAAGCTTTTTGACTTGTATCCTAGGGAGGGTGAACAGGACTTGGTTATATGGTTGCCCTCACCATTTGGCTCTCTTAAAATTGGAAAAACATAGCACTAGTTGAGAGACAAAAAGCATAGGACAACATGGTATAAACTAGTTTGGTTTTTGCAAGGAATACCAAAGCACAACTTCATAAGTTGGCTAGCAATCCTAAACAAGCTATCTAGCAAGGTTAGATAAAAGCAGTGGATAGTAAGTATTGTTGACACCTGCACATTGTGTAATGCTAAACCAGAAAAAGGTGAACACTTGTTCTTCAAGTGCAATTTTACAAAATAGATATGGCAAGATATTAGCAGTATGACAAGTGTCCCTCCTATGGACTCTTGGCATAGTTTACTCTCATGGATGGGCAAATGCATTGGAAGGAAGCCATTACATAATACTTTAATCAAGCTTTCTTGGAATGCTTTTATTTATCACATTTGGTTAGAATGGAATAGGAGAAATCACCAAAAGGTTTTCAAGTCTACAACTATGATCATATTTGATATATCTAGTTTGAAGTTCATAGTAAAGTACTGGGTTTTGCTAAACCAATAGCATCTCCTCTTCCTACATTTATTGCTAAGCAATGAGGGTTTGAGATAGTAGTGGACAATTGATTTGTAACTCTTGTTTCATTTTGGAATTTATTGTCTTTGTAGTAGCATAGATTTTGTAGCAGCATAAGTTGTTGCTTTGCATTGAATTATAGTATTGGATAGAATAAATTTTACATTTTATCCAAAAATTTATATTATATAGTTTAGTATAATTCAGATTAATAATATTTTTTAATTAAATTATATAAACTTTACTATTAGAGTATTTTTGAATATTTAAAATATAAAATATTAAAAAAATAGATTACTTTAATTTACTACAATCTAATTGAGTCGGTTTTGAGCACCTCTCTATATTACTAGAATATTTTTATTGTGACTCTTTTTATCCGAAAAATGGAACATAATTCTAAAGGACAATGATTCGCTTACACTCGACCATACCACACTCTAGTTACACACACTCTCTTTTCCATTAGCTCCCACACTTTGTTAGTCTCCATCTTCACCAGATCCATCTTCCTCCTCACCTCCATTCTCATCTTAATCATCTGCAAGACAATTGCCAGCCATCCCAAACCAAACACCCAACCCCCAATTCCAACCAAGGAAATTATCAACGTTTTAGTGGAACAATTCCTTTAAACTTAAATTGAATAAATCATCTCCCTAGCTTTCTTTCAACTTGAAACCATGAAAATTCAGTCCACAGGAAAAACAAGGCTACACACAAGTAGACCCATGTTTCCAATCAGAATTTCTTTATCATACCCAAAAAAAAAAAATTCAGAATTTGTCACCAATTTCATGTGAGAACCTAGATTTGGGTTCTCACTGGGGAAGAGAAGGAAGAAGAGGGGAGGAGAGGGAAAGAAGAAAACAAAAAAAGAAAGGAGGAGGGAGCCCAGGTCGGGAGAAAAAAAAAAAAGAAAAAAAAAAAGGAAGAAGGTGGGAACCTGGTACGGTGAGAGTGTAATGAAGACTAATGGAGTGTGAGAGTTAACGGAAAAAAGAATGTGTGTAACGGGAGTGTGGTACGGTCGAGTGTAAGCGAATCATTGTCCAATTCTAAAGGACAGAGTGCTGATTGCACTTCAAAGAAACTCATTCAATGCTTTATTAAAGGGGTCATGATTTGGTTGGTATAAGGTGTTTGTTCCTTAATTTGTTTATCAAGTTTTAATTTTTTGAGGAGATAAGTAAAGTACCTTTTTTATCAATTTTTTATTTTTTGATATAGATAATTTATCTTTAATTAAATTAAAATGATAAACCTAATCAGTATATGTAGACTAACTTAAAATACCGACTACTCACTGAAAAACATGTCCCATAGTATAAGGCAAAGAATCAATTCTCAGTTACAATACATTTATCGCATAGTTATGCCTTACAAATGTCATATATATATATATATATATAATCACCAATTAATTGCAAGTATTACATCATAATCCAAAAACAGGTGAAAACTCACTCGAGAAACCAAATATATAGTTACGGGTTATGACTAACCACACCTCAGCCATGGACGAAGTTAGGAAATTTGATTGGGGGCAAAAATTACTGTTGAAGATTTGAGTTTTCAAGACTATCTTTTATGACATTAATTTACTTTTTAAAAAAATCTTCTTTCTCTTATGAAAAGATTCATTTGTGCTCTTTTTCATTGATATATTCTTAACAAAAATTAGAAATGAATGTATCTATTACAATAAAAAAAACAAAATATCACAGTAATAAATCATGCAATAATCAATTGAAGAATGAATGAAAAAAGAGAAATGTGTTTCTTAGCTAAATCTCTACAAATTTAAGAGAGAAAATACCACAAAATTATATTGTTTCAATAAATGCACATTAAAAAGATAAAAACAACATATTCTTAAAGTAGAAATGAGGGTGTTTTGATTTTATTGAAACAATATAATTTTAGGGTTTTCCTCCTAATTTTTTTGAGATTATGTTAATAAACACTAATATTATAAAAAAATT